GCCGTATTTTGCAGAACCTGCGTGGCATATTATCAGACTTTAGGTACTTTCGACGTCGACGCTTGTGTATCATCCGTCCAAGAACGGGAAACCGTGTGATTGGCGTTTAGCCATGTCTCGTCAATGAACCCATTATCCCAGTTATCAATATTTTTTGCTTCTCTCAAAAAACTTATCCGTTTTAAAATTATGTCGTATCGTTCTAATAAAATTTTTCTTTTGTCTGTTTTTTTATACGGAAAACCAATATCTTTTAAGATTGTAGTTAAAGCAGTTTTACCCCCACTAAACAGTCCAGCTTCTCTTAATGATGCCAAAAGCTTCTTCCTGTTGAGATATTCATTTCTGGAATAGCAACCATATATATGATTTTTGATTGCATCGGCGTCAAAGATGTCAATATCTGTCACGGGTTTAGTTCTACGTTTCTTCTTCGGACTACGTAAAATATTATCTTTCGTGCCAGTACAGCCGAACTTTTCTTTATTAATATTTGTTATCGTTCGTTTGCTAACTCCAAGCGCCTAAGAGACGCGTTCTTGTACTTGTTCGACAGGTAACAGGTGTCCGCCATTTTACCGCTCCCGCTCAAAGTAATCTTGCAGCTTGATGATTAACTCGTGAGCTCCACTTTTCAATGTTTGTCCATTGTTTGCCCAAAAAAAAAGAACGCAATACAAAACCCAATCGAAGTCCGATTTAGCGCCGATATCAGTTTGAAGAGCAGAAACAGTCCATTAAACGAAAGCCGGGTAATCAAATAAAAACAGATCGAAAACACTTGAAGAACGTGGTCTATGCGCACGAAACGACAACAGACGACTGTTTTAGCATCACAAAATGGCGGCCCATAACGCCATTTGGGGTTACCATTTTCAACCTAAATATAAAAATGCTACTTTCTTTCGCGCGTTCGGTTTGGTCGTAGTTTTATTTTTATATTTAATAAAAGTTATCTTATAGTCCATTATTTTCAAATTCTTAAAAAAACAAAACGTACTATTTTATAAAGTATAACTGTATAAGAACAGATTACGATAATGTTATTGCCTGTTATTGTTAGCACAGCACTAAAAATATAAAGCGCTGACATAACCTTGTCATAGCGCAGTATAGATTTAGAAAAATATTGTTTACCAAGTTATTTGACACTCAGTTTGGCACAAAATTATAACATTAATTGATTATTGATATAATAATGTTGTTTTAATGCTCATCAATTGTTAAAACGGTAAACAACCAGCAAAAATATTTTTATTAATGCAACCCATCAAAGTTACGTCGTCAGTTCAATCGCGACGTGTCAGGAACGCATTCTCTGAACGGCCGAACTTTACCTAAACTATCGGCCTCTTGAAGCGTGATTCCTGCCGCCCAGTCACTTTGCTTCGGCCTTTGAAGGGGGGAGGTTGTGTCGCTTACGATCAGAATATACATTACGCAACAGGACGACGTAAAATTAAAATAATAAATAACCGTAATAAAAATAAGAAGCGACTGGCTTGGCGTTAAGAAACAGACATAAATATGATAAACCTAATGAAATGTGTCTTACGACCTGTCTACTTACAGTGTTAGTGATTACAAACATGTTGGTACATAGCATACGACGCGCGGGCAAGTGGGGACGAAATTAGAATTTGAGCTGACTTACTATCTCCCCTTAATTATATATTTGCATTAATCAATGTTGGGTTGTTTGTAATTGTTTTCATATATTTCTATCCAATCAAAAACCATTTCTATAACAGAACGTTTTGATCACATTCAGTGACCGTTATAGTTAGTAAGTTATAACTTAATAATTATTGCCCCCGTGTGGTAATAGAACATAGGTTTGGGTTAAAAATATCGATTTATCGAAATATCGATATTTTCTTACATTATTATCGATACTTATCGTCGATATTTTAATCGCGATTTATTCGATATTTATTTCTGAATAGCTAATTCGTATCAATTTCAATAAATATATATTTTAAAATGTAATATTTATTACATTTTTAATAGACCAAACATTAACCAACAGGAGCAACTACAAAAGCCTTCATGTGGGTGGTCGTCAAAACGTCCAGTAATAAAATTTTGGATCTCATTCTACTACATGACGAAAAAATTTTCAGTATATTGATGTATCGATATTTATCGATACTGTTTAAAAATATCGATACGATAAATGTCGATATATTTTTTCACTTGCCCATCCCTAATCGTATCGTATAGATAAAATAAGAATATAATATAAGAAGCAAATGGTCTATTGCCATAAATATGCTTAACAAATTTGACGTTAAATAAATTATATGTGTCATAATCCCAATTTTATTTAAAAATATAACGTTACCACATAATCCGATTAAATTTTGCGCGTAATAAAATATGGATTATGGGACATGTGGCAAAGTGCAACATTTAAAAATTGTATTAATATGGGTATTATAACAGTACCAACGGTTGTTCGTCGCATCGTTGAAACCACACGAAAGTATGAGTAACGAATTAGTCTTAGAAACAACTTATACCTACAGATTAAGCTTGAGAGCAGTAAGCCAATCTGACATCACTTCGATAATATTCTGAGTCTGTCTGAATGAACGAGATTAAACTGAAGACTTCACCGTAATAGCCCAATAGCGCCTTGTAAGGATAAAATAAAGCGCAATATCTGAAACGTGTTCGAGAACAGATCCTTATTAAAGTCCTTGAGAAAAAAAAGCAAAACAAAGCTTTAGGCATGGAGGCGTGGCAGAAGTATTTTTTTTTAATAGAATATGGGTGACAATATGAATACCAATGTAAAATTGCAGCTCAATGCTGCGTTTCGTATGGTGAGTGTAGAAAACTGGGGACCTTTTTTACTGGAAACGAGGCATGCTTTCTTCAGGGGTGACAAGGCATCTGCATTTTGATTCTTAATCGATGATAAATGTAGATGCCTATGGGCCAAAGCATCCAAATACCATCAGGTGGACTGTATGATCGTTTGTCACCCATATTCGAACACCTGATCGAAGTCTTGAATGCCCGCGCCGTTTTTTTACGTCTGCATAAATTGTTTTTCGAAATATCGAAATTAATTAATTATCGGTTGATAACGAAATAAATTAATAATAACATGTAAATTACTAAATAATAAATACTAATTAGAATTACAAATTTATGCACAGTGACAGTTAATTTAATATGTTTTCTAAGTTATGTTTTTTAGAAAGTAAAACTCTAGAAATAAAATAATATAGGGGTACATTAATATATTTATTTTGCCACATAAGCACAACGCCATATTGTACATAGTTGTTTTTTTCTAGTCCATTATTTCTACATAAACAAATCACCGAAGCATTCCTTTCTTAATCCTGGTCACAACATCATCTTGCAAACTTTTATTTAATGACAAAATTAAAAATTAAATTATTTAATGACAAATAGTTCATCATTCTCATGGAATGTCACTATACACGGTCCTGAGCCACCTGCATCAATCGACTTCCTGCATCTATTACCAGGATATCACTTCATCTAGAGGGGGCCGCCCTACCCGTCTCTTACCGATACAAGGCTGCCATGCTGCGAATATCCTCATTTCGAAGTCTTATCACGCAACAAAAATCCCAGTATATTAGCTATCTCCATAGAGTTTTCCCACATGGCCATATGTCACGGATCATCACTGGATGATCACTGGCAACAAGCACTAGTTGTACAATCTTGTTTTCAAGTGTTGAAGTATGCGTGACGAAAAGTGTCGTAATCTCCCGACCGCTACCCAGTAGAGTTGAACCCGTCCATTGACCTTTTGATCGAAGTTGGACTATGAGAGAGTTCTGTTGGAGGTAATTCTTCATAAATTTCACCATTTAAACTAAAATATATTACATGTATTTGTATCGGGGTAAATAAGGAACTTACCTTACTTCCTTTTCCTTTAAACATTAATTTCACCTGCACGAGCACCTTGCACCGTAAAAACTATAGGAAAGAAAGGTCCTCGAGTGACAGCATCTTTGCTGGTAAGCGAAGTGTAGAGCGGCCATGCAGACCGTGTTTTGTGACATTCCTTGGAGATTCCTTTGCTTTTTTGTAACAGACTTCAATGGTTAATGATTTCTTATATTTACTCTAATAACACACACATTTAATAGAACCAATTTTTTAAGGGTTTTAGCTCGTTTCATTTTAAATGTTTTGCGCTTTGTGAGATTTTAATGACAGGGGATCATCCCCCCTTCCCCGCTCTGGCCATGGATAAAGTAATACGCCAGTAACGTCTGGTAATATAAACAAATAAACGCGATAAAACGTTGAGATATTATAAGTACTTGATTCGATAAAATTCCTAAGTTCCTAAAATCCTCACACCATTTTAAAATAAGTAGGTACTAATAAAATATAAAGTGTAGTTGAAGTAAGGAGTATAGACTCTGTATGTGTATAAAAAAGTGTCCGTAGGAAAGCGCTAAATAAGGGTGGCGCCACTGTAGCTACAGTATAAATTTTAAATAACTTTTTATAATTTTTTTATTGTACAGACTTTCACCATAAATCTTTTTACAATAATTATTTTATTGCTTTCAAAATTTTTAGTTTCAAAATCACTCAATGTATTTTACGGCGATTTATCATACCCTGTAGCTACTCGTACGAGTTTTTGAACTGTTATTTACTGCTTACAGATGGACACATTTTCAACTATTCTCCTATGGGAGATTGTCCTCCTTACCTCTTTACTCCATGGTATAATAGTTTCGTCTATTCTATATGTATATATAAATATACAAACTAATACAAATTATATAACTGAATATTAATGTTTTCTTTTCTTTTTCATTTCAGGTACAATATAGCAAAAGGCGAAAATTAATTTTACTTAATATGAAGAATGGCCCACAAAAGTAATAAATTAATTTTATTAAATAAATTACACTTATGCGACATCTCGTGGTTACTATTGAAATGACACAAAATGCAACTTCAGTGCGATGTTTATAAGTGACTTAAAGATGGCGGTGTTACTAATCGTTATGGTTGTGATAGTAGGTAGTATGTCCAATCCTAGCGAAGAGATGGCGCTGGTGAATATAACAAGATTTGCTTCTGGTGATCTCTTTTCACTAATTGGTAGGTAATTTAAGTCAAATAATTAAAATTATTATATAATAAAACAGAGCTTAGATTTCTTAAATACTAATACTTTTAAGGACCTGATTGCGGTCTAACTCGCTGTATGGAAGTGTCCCACGGCACCGCATTAGCCGCAATGGGTGTTGTTGGTGGCAACGGGTGCTCTTGTCAATGCCGTAGAGAGACTCCCACTTTTAGAGAAGATCAGCGGATTTGTGTTAACCATATTGATGGTAAGTACTTAATAAAGAATTATATATTTATACAAACACCAATTTATAAATATAATCAACATTTGTAATAAGAAGTTATGCTTATGGCATTGTCAACTGAGGGTTTGACCCACACGGAACTAAAGCCCATAAAATTATCATAGCGCAACGATTAATTAAACATGAAGCGTACAAGAATAATCTATCTAGAGGTCAGAATCAGAATACAAGATCGAGGGTTAGAAATTTTGACTCGTAGCATAGTTTTACTATGCTCGTAGGTCGTAGGTTTGCTTCGTGCACACTATTATAATATGTAGGTACACCTACACGAAATAAACATAATCACCTATGTCTGCTTATTTTTAGTTTAACAATAAAATTAACAATGGTGATGATAATATTACTCCTTGGCGATTTCGATTTTCACAATTTTCGATTATTATCTGAAATATAATTGCAAACTTACCGGTAACGATTATGCGGTATGATCAGATGTAGGAGTAGTATGTAGAGATGTCATTGAAATAGGGATAGATTGCAACATAATATTATTTTGGCTGAAAACGAATCATTCGTGTTTTTGCACTGACATTAAATTTTTCACAATGTTGACTCTAGCTATTGGCTGGAACTCGAACTCAGGATATGCGGTAGGTCTAGATACTCTCACTACGAAACATGAATATAATTATATCTAATAATATTGTATAAAAATAAGTATGTAGTACATAAGTGATTATTTATTTAATATTGTAATATTATTTATATTGTAGTGTTTAATGTGAAAATTTTACTATAAAAATAAAATATGAGATTATTCTGTAAACCGTTGCCAAGTTGTGTTAATTCCTTCATATTCGAACAATAAATATGTCAGTATATCAGGTACTTAGAAATTTAAAGAAATAGTTATGTACGCACTTAAAATATTTAAATAAATTAATTAATAATTTTATATAATTAAATGACTTTAAATTAAGTGTTTGTTTATTCCAGAGTGTCAAATGGCTAGTTACGGGCGCGGTGCAACAAAACCTCAAATCCCTTTCGTTTTTTTGCCCTTGAAGGGACAAATTGTATATCCATCAAAAGAAATTATTTTTTCAGGTATGTGTATTTTATAATATTATACTTCTAATGATAAAATAGAATAAAATATTTATAATTTACATAACATAATAATAATAACAAACTGAAATTTAAATTATCATACAATATTTCAATTAAAATATAATTTGTTAAAAAAACAGCACAAAAAGATTCCGGTACCGGGAATCGAACCCGAGCCTCCTGGGTGAGAGCCAGGTATCCTAGCCACTAGACCATACCGGATTTGCTATAGTTATTGAAATACATCTATAAATACTTAGAAATGACAAATAATGAAATTCATAATTGTTATAGAAAATTTTTGGGGAACTGTTAGATTTACTATTGAATGATCAGGTAGATGTCGCTGGTGTTGAATCCAGAAATCACCCGTACGAAGCCGGGGCGGATCGCTAGATGTCTATATACCTTTTTAACTTTTTATCTACTTTCCCTCTAAGCCACAGGGTATGCTGAAAACTATTTTTCTATCGAATAGGGTATTTTTTACCGACTTAAAAAAGGAGGAGGTATCCAATTCGACTGTATGTAGTTTTATGTGTTACGTCAGAACTTTTCTCTCATTGAACCGATTTTGATGATTCTTTTTTTTCTGAAAGCTGGTACTTCTCTTGTACAATAATTTAAGTAGTTATTGAGTTATCCTTAATAATATATTTAATTGACTGTTATTTTATTTATATTGAAGTCGGTTGCACAAAATTTTTAATTTTACCACTTGTTTGGTCATAGGTTTTATTTGAGTTTGCAAAGGTAAATGTCATAGTAAAGTATTCATCTAGATGTAAATTAATTAAAACAATGATAATTACTAAATAATATACTTACTGATGAAATGTTATGTCCTTTATTAGTTTAATTACACGTTCTTGATGTAAGTTTTACCCAATTGATTATGCTGCAGTGCACACATCATAAATTTGTAGTAACAAAAATTCACGTAGGTACGACTTGTTTAGTCCCGACACAACTAAATCATTAGATGGTGAATTATATTCGTCAATCCACACGTGGAAGCGGCGAAAGGTCACGCGTTTTTTTCTAGCTTGCGACGATGTTTAAAATAAAAGAGCTATTTGTCTTATTATTACGATTTCTGCGCTGGTTGCTTAAAGTTGTAAAAAACTTCTATCGTCTTATTATTACGAATTCTGTGGCCGCAATCACCATGCGTAGATGGCAGACATCACACACCTTTAACACTGCATTTCGAAACCTACTTATTTATATCTCGGGCATAATAAACAAGACGGCATGCCACCGTTTTTCGGAGGTCATGAGGGTTTTCTAGTCTACTTTTCCATAGTCACATCTTACTCGTAAGACACTTACGAGAAAAAGACAGAACAATTAACAGGAATGCTTTTTTTGTACGTACTTGTTACACATAACTTATTCACTATGTTGTTAGACCCTTTTTACTGGAAACGAGGCATTCCATCTCAGTCCTCACGGGTGACAACGCATCTGCATTTTGATTTTTAACGGAGGATAGATGTAGATGTCTATAGGCCGCAGCAACCACTTACCATCAGGTGGACTGTGTGCTCGTTTGTCACCCAATTCTATAAAAAAATTCATAATGTACCTAGTTGTTTTGCTTTAACATAAATAACTTTTTTTTTAAAATTATGGCTTAGCTTTGTTTACCTGTAAGTAATTTCGTGTTTCAAATTTTAACAATTATAGGTAGACTTTTTTTAAAATAAATGAATAAATATAAAGCTTCATCAAAAATTTAATAAGTATTTATTCCAGATGTGGAGGATGCAGTTTGTGCGGTTACAAGTGCACAGTATCTGTCGCCGTCGGGCTGGGTGACTGTTCGGGACCTACTAGATAATGACGTACCTTTTGGGCTCTACCGAGATGAGGGCAGTACATATTTACAGGTAAGCTTACCATTTCCACAAATTTTTAGCAAAAAAGAATTGCGTGTCTTCCAATAAGTAAATGGTTTTATTGTAATTTACCTCAAAATCACACACATTTTTAAAAAAGCTACGCTGTCTGTCCATTTCGGATTTTTAATAAAATTTAACGATGGAATAAATCACGTGGTTAAGTATGATTAAAAAATTAGATATAGCGTAAGTAGAATAGCGATTGAAAAAAGTTGTTCAAACACAAAAAAAAACACTTCGGAGCTGTTATATCATGCCATGTCCTAAAAAAACTAGTAAGTTTCCATGTCGTAGAGATGTAGTAGAGTGAAACCTTAACAGCTATTCATCATTCATCATCATTAAAGCCTATCAAAGTCCACCGTTGAACATAGGGCTCCCCCAGAGATCCCTCCCCTCATAGGATACCATTTGACATAGTTGCCACGTTTTTTTCCAAGATAAGGGTATAAGCACATAATTCACCTGATGGTAAGTGGATGCTGTGGTCCATAGACATCTACGAGTATATCATTCTTCGATTACGAATCAAAATGCAAATGCGTTGTTATCCTTCAGGACTAAGATGAAATGCCTCGTTTCCAATATAAAAGGTCTCCGGTTATCAACACTCACCATGCAAAACATAGCAGCGTTAAGCTGTTATTTGACGCTGGTATTCTGTGAGAGCGTGGTCCTTCCCCGGTTCAGCCGACCCACGCTACAACTGTACTACAGATATACCTGCAGCATGGCTCTAGCATTTAAAAATAATATTGACATCCGCAGTTTCTTTTTAATAATTTGAAGTTGTTGTAAGGAAGGCATCTTCCTTGTACGTCCTGTTTTGGTTACCCTTTGTTGCCTTTTACGATAACTGCGATATTTGTGAGATTGTGGATTCCCTTGTGTCGCCGTTACATGACGACCGCGTTACAAAAGGATAGAGTTAGATTAAAGTTTTATGAGACGCGATGAGTAAGGAACATAAGTTTGTCTATAATAAAAAAATGTTAAATTGGGGTTAAGGTGATGTGGGCGCCAAAAGCAGATTTTTCACGCTTTAAAAGTGCAATTTTTTGCCATTAAAAACTACGAATTGACACATTTTGGCTCGATAGAAAAAGTTCGCAGAGTTTCCTCAAAATCTACAATTTTAGGTACGTCCACTAAGTGAAAAAGCAGTTTCATTCAAATGTAATGCAATCAATTTCAGTTAAATTCGGGCTTTGTGTTCACCAGTAAATACGTGAGTGAATTATGGGTTTATTTTTCAATAAAAGAATACACATCATTTTAAAAAAAATCAAATAAATATTGTGCGATTAAATAGCGCGGGGCCGACCAAACAGTCCATATAAAGCGTGAAAAATCTGCTTTTGGCGTCCACTTCACCTTAAGTGATATTGTATTGATGGCAACAAGTGAAAAAATTAAAAATTTTGTACAACCGACTTCAATATGACTTTGATGATGAATTTTGACAGAAATTAGGGTGTATCGCGGTATGCTGAACACATCTGCGTACCACTTTAGAGGGTACAGGAGTATTGTTATATTGTGTGATTGCGTAAACACAGATAAGCGATGGTAGCATTGCAGTTGATTTTCTGGCATTAATTGAATAGTTGCAACGGAGCTCTCACCTTCGATTTGCTGACGATATAGTCCAGACAGAATCTCTGGAGGACCTAAGCTCTATGCTCAATGACCTTAGTAGTGTCTCCCAACGGATAGGTCTTAAGACAAAACGAAGGTCATGGTTAACGTCTATGTCATACCTATGCCGGTAGTTGGGAGCACTAAGCTCGAAGTTGTTGATGAACCTAGGACCAATAGTCCCACTAGGTAAGTCCAACAGCGACTGAGAGGTCAATCGACGGATTCAATTCAGCCGGGCAGCGTTCGGGAAATTACGATACATCTTCACGTAAGGTATACTTCAAAACCTGAAAAGAATGTAGAATCTACAACCAGTGCGTGTTGACAGTGATGACTTACGGATCTAAGACGTGATCCTTCACTGCTGGCCGTATGAGGACGCTCAAGGTCGCTCAGCGAGCTATGGAGAGGGCTATGCTCGGAGTTTCTCTGCGTGATAAACTTAGAAATGAGGATATCCGCAGTAGAACCAGAATGACCGACACAGCCAAACGGATCAGTAAGCTGAAGTCGCAATGAGCCGGCCATATAGCTCGAATAACCGACAAACGATGGGGAAAAAAGATTCTCGAGTGGCAGCCTCGTACCGGTAGGCGTAGACGTAGTATAGGGCGACCCCCAACTAGATGGAGTGACGACATGGTAAGACATGCAGGAAGTCGATGGATGCAGGTGGCTCAGGACCGTGCTTTGTGACATTCCTTGGGGGATGCCTATGTTCAGCAGTAGACTTGTGAAGGGCTGTAATGATGATGATGTTGATGAACCGAGCTATTTTATTAATGTCTCCGAAACTCATCATCAGATCTTTACGAAATTTAAATAGGACCATTTCGGAATTAACATCTTTCGAACAAAACAAGAATTTTGCAAATCCGTCTAGTTATGAGGTATGGTGAAGAGTTATGGTGAACATACATAAAAATATATAAACATCCGAATTGAGAACTTCCTGCTTTTTTGAAGTCGGTAAAAAAATATAATTCATTAGAAAGATATAATAATTGCAAAAAACGATAAAATAGAAAAATGTTTAAGAATAAGAGAATATGTTAAAACACCTAATACAACACAAGAAATAATGAGTGTTAGGCAAGAAAATTTATAGAGCTGGAAAGGCAATATAGAGAGGAAGGTTAAAAAAGCATAATATGCGACAGGCAAAAAAATGTCTTCATACTAAGGAATAGAGGAGAAGACCGTATCTAGAGCCATCTATCAGAGATAACTTTACCTGCAAGATTATTGGTTCTTAAATCTGTGACATTTATTTAAATAATTTTTTGTTTTACATTTGTGTATTAAAATTCTTACGAACATGTACTTCTAATAATGATCAGTTTTATCACTATAACTAATAGATTTCAAATAACTATATGCTTGTTTTGTATTGAACAGAACGGGTCAACCACCCAAGTAGATTTTTGTAATTACCAAAAGTTTGTTAATTTGGTTATTAGCCCCGAATATTAATCGAAATGCAGTAATTATTTTCACATATTTATTGATCGTATCGCCTGTAAAAATAGGCAATTAAATTGTAATATTATAAAATCCAGTGAGACGTAAGCTTAAAGAGATTTTTATCGGCGGGCGGCCGTTTAAAGCAGATCAACCTGGGGAGGCTGCGACTACACGGATACTCAAATCACTGGAAGTGGGAGAAAAAAACGTATAAATACTCGATATTATTAAAAGACAAATTGTTTGAAATTAAATTGTATAACTTACATATAAAACATACTTAATGCATACTCTCTAAAACAGGTGGTATCGTGATCGAACGATCAATGAAAAGAAAACAAACATCGTGGTGTTTATTGCAAATCGACTCTACTATACTGAATAACCTTTTTTACCGTCTGGAAAAAAATAGTGTAACATGTGAACGGAGTGGAAGTATATGGCACTGATATTTTACAAAAAAAAAATGAAAACAAAAATGTTGAATTAAACATTTAAAAAAAATTACTTTGCGCTTTGCCCTTGAGCCTGTGACCCTGCGAAGTGACAAGGTCAAAGATGCCTACTAAATTTATTGTTTAATTGCCGTTCGTAAAGTAAGGTGGATGTGATTTGAATTTCGATAGATTTTAATTAGTTAATTCATTTAATTCAAAAAATTGGTTTTTATTTTTTGTAAAATATCAGCGCCATAGGCTTCTGCTACGTAAACATGTTACACCCTATTTTTTTCGAGACGGTAAAAAAGGTCATCCAGTATAAGATGTCCATTAGCATCAGATAAATAAGAGCTGAAGGTTAATCATAGTCTCTTCTCCGTAATCAACAAGGTGTTGGTAAATATGTATTATGCTAAGCGGTATTACTTTTCTGCCTCCTTTCCTTTTCCCCGTCGAGACAGTAATACAACACATTCACTTACATGTTCCAGTCTGAAGGGTTTTTTTTAATATGAGAGGGAGCAAACGAGCATGCGGTTTACCTGATGGTAGGTGACTATCGTCGCCCATTAACAACTGCAACACCAGGGGAATTGCAGATGCGGTGCCGGTATTTAAAAAAAGAGTAGGCTCTTTTCTTGAAGGTCCCTAAGTCGTATCGGTCTAAAAAATTGCTGGTGGTAGTCTATTCCACAAAGAAAAGTTGTGCGAGGAAGAAAACTTTTTGTAAATCGCACAGTAGTGGACCGCCAATTATCAAGATGGTAAGGATGGTATCTCGAGTTCTGTAGCGATGTGTGATGGTGAAATTGAGCGGCTGAAATTAATTCGAAAAATTACTCTGAACTCTGAGCACTAGAGCCAGTATACAATTACGGGCTGTGAGGAATTCTATCTCAGTGAGAGAGAGAGGTGATAACGCATCTGTAGCCTTCATGAGGCCTGCATATGAACTGCAGTAGCCACTTAGCTTCAGATGGATTGTATGTTTTTTATGACTTCTGTTTTATAAAAAAAAAGCTAGTCGACTATCCGAATCGTCCTATAGACGGTCTCAACTTTTTCCAATATAATATCTTACAACACACACGCAACCTAGAACGCCGATAAGGCTTAATCAAAATTTGTGATATTGGTGATGAGAACTTCATTACCAGAGCGATTGTTCTGCGCTTATCAACTCTCCTGGCCTTCGTGATGAGTGTGGGTAAATATTTAAGATGTTATGTTTATTTGGCGTGATCATGAAAATGTCCAAATCCAGCAGTGTATCGTCATCTTCTTAGACCTCAGGGGTGACACGTTTGTATTTTGATTCTTAATCGAGAATGGATGTAGATGGCAACAGCATCCACTTACCATCAGGTGGACTGTGTGCTCGTTTGTCACCCTTATCCTATAAAACAAACCTGCCAAACGTGGCAACTATATTAAATGGTACCC